CAAATGAGGGACATGAAAAATGTAATCATCATCACCATTATGGTGCTCATTTATGCAGCACCGCTCTGGTCACATTTACACTTCCATAATTACAGCAAATAGCGCCAACCTGCTCTCTCTCCGCCTGCCTCCTCTCCTCCTCTCGGCGGAGCTGCTCCATTTCCTCGTAGCGCCTCCTCTGCTCCCTCTCGTGCTGTTTCCTCAGCTCACGTTCTCGCTGCTGCTGCTGCAGAAGAACGACAGACAGCTGAGCGCGGCTGCATCGTCTGAGTCCTGTCACCTTCAATGGAAGTCTCGGCAGATTCTCACTAAAATGTGCCACTGTGTGAAAATGAACTCAGAGTTCATTTCCATACCTTTATTAATATGTTTTTACATTTTCTTCCACAGTATGAGCACAGAGCACCTCCACATCATCATGCTGTACCTCCACCTCCTTGTCACAGGAAAGGTGTTTTCTTCATTAGACGTGTGATTTAAAATTATCCAGTTAATATGGCTGAAAAATATTTTTTATTACTAAAATAATTGGTCTTTCTTTGTCTATGGCACAGTGACAGGCAGAAAAAATAATTACTCTTCCACTAGGTGGCAACAGATAAGAAAGAGAAAAAAGAGAGACTCAGAGCTGAGTTGTTTGTCTTTCTTCAATTCCTACATGTACTTTATATCTGGATTCAAAAAAATGAAACACTGCACTATTGCCCCCTAATGGCCATGTCCATCCAGTCTATACTCTAAATCAACGGTCCCCGGACCGTGGACCGGTTAAATGTCTGAAATTCTTTTCACGGACCGGCTTTTAATAAAATAATAACACCGGCATAAAAACTGGTATTTCCTAATAATAATTATGAACGTTAGCCACTGTGTGTGCAACATTATTAGCAGCGTCTTCGTAACATTGCGCTTTTCTTTTAATGCAAAATGCTAGGTCTCCAAGAAGAGAAGCGGTTTTGAAGACTTAAAGTTACGTAAGTTATGCATTCTTCCTGTGCGGCCCGGTACCAATTGACCCACGGACTGGTGCCGGTCCACAGCCCGGGGTTTGGGGACCACTGCTCTAAATGAGATCAAGGGATAGTTCACTCTTTGCCTCCTAACCTCCTCCAGTCGCCTTCTCTGCTCCTTCTGCTCCTCAATGCGTTTCTGCCTCTCAGCCAGCAGCAGGCGCTTGTGCTCTTCATTCTGCTGTTGCTCCAGCTGTTGCCGCCTCTGCGCCTCCGAGCGCTCCTTATTGGCCAGCTGCAGGCGCAGGAAGTCCCGTCTGAGTGTGGACTCACCGGGGATGTTGATGATGGAGCTGAGCATGGAACCAGTGAAGGGACACAAGTTTGAAAAGTGTTGACAATTAGAAAAAAATCTCCACGTAAGAACAGACACTGACCTGGGTTCACCCATCTCTCTTTCTTCATCCTCCTCCTCGCTGCCGCTGTACTCGTACTCCGTCTCATCTGAAACAGGCAGCAGAATAGAAGTTGAGGAGAAACGTTCGAGGGATCAGATTCATTCCACTGCTCTATTTTACATTTTTCACTTGAATTACTTTCGTTCATTACTAAACCCCTCACGATTTTGGCATTCACAAACCCTGACTCCTTGAGGGCACTTCTTTTTAGCGCTTTTGAATAAGAGTATAAATTCCAATTTTACTATGTGTATCGAAGTGGAGAACATTAGCTCCCAGCGTTTTCACTCAAACAGCTGCTCAAAGCAGAAACGGTGGTAGAAGCAGCTCGTCCTCCCCTCCTGACAGCTGCCAAGAGGCTGAGTCTCTAAAGTGGTGAGACGTTTCTGAAAATCATCACCAACGAAAACCTCATTTAAGGCAGATATCGGCAAGATCGTTTCAGTTTTTTTTAAATGCATTTTAAATCCAAAAACAGTAACATGAGTTCAGAATCCATAAGTTTCCCCAAGTGAAAACTTAGCTAGCGCTTATAACTCACTGAGCTTTGAAGCCAGACTGGAAAAATACATTAGCACTTAGTGCAGTTCTACATGGCAAAAGTTAGTGAAGAAATATACAAAAAAATAAAAATAAAATAGAAGTTAGCTAAAGTCACTCTAAACATGAGGACAAAATGGCTAAAACGAGAGCAAAAAAGTCACCCAAACCTAAATGTTAGCCTGAAAAAGCTGACTATATGAGTGAGACCAAAAAAGTTACAAATCACCCAACCTAAACGTTAGCCTGAAAAAGCTGACTATATGAGACAAAATGTCAAATTATGGCTAGAACATGCAAAACCCTAGCTAAATATACTACATTTCACTACAATTTAAAACAAGCTAAACATCATCCCATGTAAAGAGGGCCATAAAATAGAAAAATTAAAAATAATCAGCAGTCTGCTAGTAGCTTGTAGTTAGCTAAACTAGCATAAAGGTAGGCTGGTAACTACCGTATTACACTAGCATAAAACCTGTCCAAATGTCACAAGTGGTTCAGACATTGGACAGTTCTGGCTACCGCTGTTATTTCTCAGACACTTTATTAGACCATAAGGAGAACAGAGAAAACTGGTTTGATCTGCTCTTAATTTACCTGAAGACAAACAAGGGTTTTTATAATAAAACAGAAATGGAAATGTTTTTACATCATTTAAATGTTATTGGTGTTTTGCACCTCAGGGTATCTCAGAGTAATTTGAGTGTAGGAGAGCAAAGAAAAAAAAGTCTAAAAAAAAAAAAAAAGGAAGAGAAATGTTTTCCAAAAAGGAATCACAAAGTTCTCAGAGTTAATTCGCTGGGAAACCAGAAAAAGTTCCGGAAGGACCTGGCTCAGCATTTGAGAGCTTTTCTGAGACTGAGCCAAGTTTGATCCTCCTCAGGTCCAAAGACGTTTGATCAGGACTGGCTGCTGATGGGCACCAGGCAAAAACAGTGCTTTTTAGAAAAGGAATCATGGTAAAATGTGGTGAGAAATATATGGTTCAAATGAGGAAATAGGACCCAATTCAATGGAAAAGTAAATATTAGTGAGTGTATTTAAATGAAAAATACATTTCAGTTTTTATTAGTTTAATTAAATGTGCTGTTGTCTTTCCTCAGTGGAACTTAAATTAATTATGGGATTTTAATTTAACCTAAATCAAGCCAGCCTCGCTTTATGGATACAATTACATCACAGCTGAATGGAATTAGTGCTAACAGGAAGCTAACAGCAACCAAGGCACAAAAAGGACAATTGTTTAGTCAACTTTTTTATGAATTACCCACAATTCACACATTCACTTACCATTCTTTATATACTTAAAAATCCTGACAAACTACTCTAAATTTTTTTAGGCGTTTTCAACCCTGTGGCTTTAACAATGGTGAGGCTAATTTATGGACTTTATGGATCTTTCTGTGTATATACCCCATGTTACTGAAAAAAAATCTTTCTGTGTATATACCCCATGTTACAACGTGGACACCTGCGGCTTATGGAGAAGTGTGGCTTACATATTATTATTTGTTTCTTTTTTTTTATTATTTAGTGAGTGCAGGTTACATACAGGTGCGGTCAATAGTCTGTATGGCTGTCCCTTTTACTTGCACGTCTGTCTAAAACACTGTTTCCAGGGTCTTTTGTGCATGGTTGCCCTCTGTGTTCTAGGATCCAGTTCCCCCCCATAGTCCAAACACATGCAGATGGGGTTTGGTTTAATTGGAGACTGTGAACTGTGAATGGCACTTCCGAGTGAGAATGTCTGAATGGCTGTTTGTCCCTTTACATCGGTTCTGTGAGAAAGTATCAGTATGAACTGGCACCGGCTGATCCCATTGGTCCTTATATGAAAAGAGCTATAGCTAATTGATGGATGGTTAGGCTAAGGTGGAGAGTGGAAACTCAACTCCCGCCTTTCTTTGACAACACATTTGTACAACAATCCTTTAGGGTCAGGTCAATGCCGAAGAAGCGGTGTTTTGGTCACCCAGCTCCTCTGAGCCTTTGATATATTCTCCTCTTTTTATTTTTACCTTAACCTTTACCAAGCCAATCAAATGAAATAAAAAGTTGCTCCTGATCTTTATCCTCACCCCTCTCTCCTCTCTTCTTCTTGGTGCGGTCGATGTGGTCTTTGAGCTGGATGCGGATCTGCCTCTCGTTGGGCAGGTCTCTGATGAAGGGGTGTTTGAGCAGCTGCTCAGTGCTGGGTCTCTGACTGTGGCTCTTCACCAGACAGCTCTCTATGAATGACTGGAACTTCTTTGACCTGAGACCACACACCAACACATAGTGGATATGAACTGTTTGTGACAAGGGGTTCCTGACAGTGACAGCGCGATGTGAGTGACACGTTTGTATTTATGCATCTTTGTATTTTTGTTCAAAGATAGTCAGATATAATACAAATGACTGAAAATGTTAATTAAACTCTTAAGGCTACAGTACATAAAAACAAAATATTTAGTTGTAGTATTGTAGTATCAGTATAGACATACACAAAAAGTTTTTTGAGCTATTGTTAATATATAAGCTATACTAGCACATGTAGCTGATTAAAATTAAGTCACACCAGAAATGACTTAAGGAGTTAAGTAAAATCACAAAAAAATGACAACTTTCAAATAGATTAGAAATAGTTAGATCTTTTGCCAAAATCTGTTAATAAAAAGTTAGCTTTAGCTAGCTATTCTAGTTCATAAACAAAACAAAAGTGCTAACTTGCTTTCAAATGTTATTTGATTTGTTGAAAAACGAATGGAAAAAGTATCAAATGCCCTTAAAGCGAATTTTAATAGGAGAAAAAAAAACCTATAAATATTCCTGGTGTAATACTTGTTCATAAAAGGTAGTACAGCAATGAGGTAAAATCTAAAAAATATTTCATAGCACATACAAATATAAGGCTATCATAGCAACAGCTTTTTATTATTATTCTAAAGTATCTGCGATTGTTTATTTTTGAATTTAGAGAGTATGAATGTTAAAATTAAACCAATCAAAAAATCCTTAAATAACAAGTAGTTATACATGGGGACTTTACACAAATTATACATTTTTGTCTTGCATTCCTTCTAATCCCACCTTTTAGGACAAAACACACACTCTCACATATACATGGAAAAGTACACGTGCAATCACCACTCACCACTTTTTGGACTTGAGCCTCGGTGCTGGGTTGCGTGGGATGAGGAAGAGCGCTCTCATCGGGTGCATGTCACACAGAGCTGCAGAGGCAGAGAGACACTTCAGTCAGTCAGTAAATGCTGTCGCATCACTCTCTCTCTTTCTGTTTTTTTTTATTACCATACCTCAAAATATTATTACAAGTACTGTGCAACATGTACTAAATATTAATGAGACATCACTGTGCATTGTTACTCAGTCTAATGGTCTTACTGTCTGTGTCCAAAGGTTAACTGTGCACTCACAAACAGGAATCATTTTGTTGACGTGGTACCAAATGTTTTCTAACAGGTTTATAGACGTAGACTTCTAATTTAATTATAGACTAATACATGTTTATGTCTATGGACTGTTACGATATGCTAAAAGATGCATTTACAGGCTAATTTGCTGAAATACACAGAGGTCAAAATGTTAGCGTGGAAATGGCAGACTAATAATTCCAGTTGTAGATTCATTTTGGAACCAGTCAGCTTTCATCCCCATCATCTGTCTGACTGAATCCACTTTCTAAAAAAAGTACAGTTCATGTACAAGTACACTTGTTTCTCAAATATTAATAGTACAAAATGAAGCGCTAGACGGCTGCTGCATCCTACACTGTTACCAAAAATAAACCATCAGCTACTGTAGCGCCGGCCCGTTAATAAATGTAGGTTTATGTGTCAGGAGACTTGGAGCTTGTTCTCATAAAGAATAAGAACAAGCACTGGCAGGAATGAGATTTTTGACAGATGAAAAGATGACTGTAACTGAAGGATTTTGGGCAGAAGACCAGCGATCTGACATCAAATTTTATACCCTGCAGCTTGGCTTCCATTAAAATGTGTGGCTCGAGATAAGTTGTCCTGTCCAGAGTTAAATTATCATCATCAACTCCAGCAGCGTCTGGGAAATGATGTGAGTGAGGGTTACGTACGTGGTGCACCTTCAGCCATCTCGATCGCCGTGATTCCCAGGGACCATAAATCACTCTGCAATGACAAAAGCCACGGCTCATAAATACTATAAATATTTGTGATGATAAAACCAGGCAGGAAAGACAGGGAGGAACAAAAGGGCTGACGCACCTTGAAATCATATGTGGCATCAGGGTTCTCGTCACATGCGATGACCTCCGGTGCCATCCAATAAGGTGTCCCGATAAATGTGTTTCTCCGACCAACTGTCCGGTCCAACTGGGCCGAAACACCAAAGTCCACTACAGGTTTGCAAAGAAACACACACGAGATTGTGGGTCATTACGAAGATTTCAGCTGTGTCAGATTTTTTTTTAATGCTGACTCAACAAGCCTCTTGAACACCTACAGTATCTTAATAAGAGATCTATGTCCATTTAGCAAAATATGAAGTTGACTAGTCTTAGTTTTTAAGGGGACGCATTGGTCAGAGGATCCAGGTTTGAAGCCCACTTTGGTCCACTGTGGTGAGTTGAGCACCAATTTTCTTTCTCTCTTGTGAACACTTTCTGAAAAGTGAACACTGTTCTCCAGGGATGCTTGGTTGTTTATGAGTCACTGCATGATCAGTCCACCTCTTCTGCCCGTGGACGACCTGGGTGTAGCTTCACGCAAACATGGCCACGGTTGAGCAGTAAGAAAGAAAAAGCTGCCAGTAAAACACTTGATCCATTGGAGTGTTTTTCATTTGTGTATATGCACTGTAAGGTACCGTATGCCATTCTGACAGGTATGGCAAACTGTCAGGACACTGGAGTACAAAATGCAGTCGAACCAAAAATGTTTGCGCCTCAGTCAGATCCCAAACAAGAAAAAGCCCCAGAAGAAAATCCAGAGCCAAGCTTGAACCTGTTGTTGAGAGGGCCACCGCAGTGAGCTGACACTCCAGAGATACAACTTTTATGCGGGTGTTACAAAAGGTCTTCTGTTTGGGAAACTGATACATTTTCAAAATTGTTTATTTTGAAGGAAAAACAAAAACAAAAACAACATGAGAGCTTCATGGTGCAAAGGAAAAACGAAACCTTAAAAAAGTCCTTTGAAAATTCATAAAAAATAAATATATCACCAAAAAGAAGTAACGTCCTCAACCTGCAGCAGTTTTCTCAATTTACCAACACCCCCCCCCCACACACACACACACACACCTGGACTGTATAATTGTCTCCCCAGTGAGCCTTAAAGGGAGAGAGGAAGAGAGTTCCCTCTTCAGCAGTCTGCACCATGAACAGCAGCAAAGCTGCGGGGAGATGAGCTGCATGGAGCTCAGCATAAAGGAAGTCAAAGATACACAGAGGTCCACAGAGACACACACTCCTGAAACCTCACACCTTTGTACTCGCGCTCACTCTCGATCCTAAAGCTGTTTTATAAAGTCAGCTTGGATGACAGACTGACCTAGTTTGACTTCCGCGTTCTCCGTCAGCAGGACATTCTGTCCCTTGATGTCTCGGTGGATGACCTTGTGCTGATGGAGATGAGTCAGACCCTGCAAACAGTGACAGAGACACAACATTAGGTTATTGGCATGATCATTTCAGCCACAGCTCTTTTGAACACACCAGTGTTTGACTATGTCCATGAAAGGAAAATTGGACCAAATCCAAAGCCCGTATTTCATTTCACCTCCTTTACATCGCAGGTGTTTTCAGATAACCCTTTGTCTCGCTGAGTTCCAATGTTGTTGAGTAGTTGTTCATGATATTTCTATATATCCACAATCAGACCCCAGTGTGGACAGTCTACAGCCCTGTAGACCAGTGTTTCCCAACCACTGTGCCGTGGCACACAAGCAGGACGCGGGAGACCAATCGGTGTGCTACTAAAATTAAATTGGTCTGAGAACTACTATTTTTTTGTTTAGTGCAAATACTGTAATTTTTTTTAACTCATCTATGACACAGTGACAATACTCTTCCTGTAGATGGCAGCAAATTATTAAAAATAGAGAGAGCGCTGTTAAAGAAGATCTCTGTGTGTATTTCTTCAATTCCTGCAAGTATATCATCATGTGCAACTAAAATGGCCGTGACTTCAAACCGAGACAGCAAATTGCAACAAAGTAAAATTAAACTACAAAATCATTATATTTCATTACTGATTATTACAATACTCCTTGGGACAACAGTCGACAGTCCTTCTGTATAGAAGACATGCAGCAAAAAAAAGTCCAAATGTCAGTCATTTGGATTTCGTTCCACACCAAAAGGCCATTCAGTGAATAAAACCAGTAAATATCCCCTTAATTATCAGGGATAGCTTAAAATAGCTAAAATCTAGTCAAAGAATAGCTCAAATGCTTATCAAAGTATGTAAATGTAGAGTACGTATAACAACCATATCGTGGCAAAAGCTGTTAAAAAATGTATTCTGAATTAACTTTTTTTTAAATTAATTTTAACTTTCTTGAAAATTAAAACAAAATGTAAGCACACAGAATTGAACTAAGAGCAAAAACCAAATGTTAAAAGTTGAATTTTCCACCCAGGTGGTGAAGACACTGAAGTACTCTCAGTACTACAGAGGTAGAGGGAAATATGAGAGTCAGCAGGCGTATAAAACAGTTAAAAGGAACAAAGTGGAGAGAAAAGAGGAAACGGCAGGCGCAGTATAAAACAGTTAAAGGGAACAAAGTGGAGAGAAAAGAGGAAACAATGAACAAAGCAGTGGAGGAATAGTTAACAAACAGGAAGTATGCTAAATGAATTCAACCTTTCCTCAGTTTGGACAACAACCGCGGCCAGAGAGCACTGATGTTGCTGTTTCCAGGTCTCATCTGAGGAACTGATATCACTCACCGGCAGGTTTTAGATTTTACAGATTAGATATGGAAGAGGAAGTCTGTTTTTATTCCAGGAAGTGCTGTGCCTTGTCCCAATTCAGAAACGTGAAGGAACAGCAACAAAAGGTGCCACGATGAGCCAATTGATTGAAACTGATCTGTATTTTCTGTATTTCATTTAAACAGTCATAATTACAGGGTTATTTTAAAGCATTCAGACACGGACACCCACCCTGAGAATCTCTCTGCAGATGTACGCTGTCCACTCCTCTTTCAGAGAATTTCCCTTCGTGTTCTTGATCAAGTCCGTCACTGAGCCGGCTCCACAGAACTCCATGACCAGCTAAACACACACACACACACACACACAGGATTGATCAGACCAGCAGGACTAACATTGTGGGTTTATTGGACACGCACCATCCAATGATGTTATCAGGTGAAATGATATATAAATGTACAACATAAGGGCCACACGGTGGCGGAGCGGGTTAACAGACCCAAGGTGTGAATGCTGGTGTGAATGGCTGTTTGTCTCTTGTCTAGTGTTTTTTCATTGAGAAATGTAATGACATCCATCTTCCACTTGTCAATGTCCCAGCCGTCCTTTTGACACAATGCCGATCTGTACGTGTGTATTTATAGCCAGTGAGCAGTGACTTTTCAAAATATTATAAATATAATGGAGAGATACTTGTCTGTGAATTATAAATCCAATGAAAATCTTAACACTATAAATCGAGCCCAACCTATGGTACATAAGAAAATTAACAATCAGGCAGGACTTAACGTGTCAACAAGCAAAACTACAAAAAATCTTTTGGCGTCTTCTTTGTACCAAGGAATGGTTGAGAACAAATACTAACTGGCACCCAAATATTATTAAAAAAAATTATAAAAATTATAGAAAAAAGTTATTTCAATAAAGGTTTAACTGTAAAAATAACTACTGTAAAAATAATAATAATAATAATTGTCCCCGTCCTTTGCTGTCCTTTGCTGCACTGCATGGCAATGAACAAGGTTTGCAGCCAAAACTTCAGCTGGTCACTTCTGGCTTGGTTTCAAGCTCCATTTATCATCACTCAGGCTTAAAAGGGAGAGAGGAAGTTAGTGAGTAACTGCCAGACGCTGTTCATCCAGTATTCAGAAAACACACACAAAAAACTATATGCAAAAAAAATAAATAAAAAAATACAACACCACAAAAAAAACAAAAAAAAAAATAAAATGAAAAAATACACCACAAAAAAAACAAAAAAAAAAATTAAATAAAAAAATACACCACAAAAAAAAAAAAAAAAAATCAAAGAAACAGTCGAAGTCGTGCATCTCCTGAGGCTACGTGAATTATGCAGCAGAAAGTGCTGTACTCATGTTTATACACTATATTTTCTCCATGTGCATGTGTGTCCTCCCATTGTTGTGTGATGAATGTTCCGGAATGAATAGATAGTTCCCTCAGATCACGTTACCCACATGATTTATTGCAGCAGCCAGTCGACCACCGACTCATTTGTATCCCTTATATGTTTTCAACGCATGCATATGCGTAAAAAATGCATAAATATATATGCTTTTACTGTTCGTAGTGCTCTGCACACATAAATAAATTATACGCTTATTTCTTCTACATGACAAACAGAGGGGGAACAGAAACCGACTTTTTTCAGCATTATTAACACAGCTATGATCACCGTCGGGTTGACGAGGTTCGTACCCAGAGCTGGTCGTCGATGCCAGGAGGATTTTTCTTGATGAAGGCTCCGTAGTAGGTGGCGATGTTCCGGTGGTGACTGTACTTCTTCAGCATGTTAATTTCTGCTTTAATCTCCTCTTCCTCATCCTGACACGCACATAAGAGGGGACAAAAACATTAGAGCGTGAACTGCACTTCTGACAAACACGTAGTGTTTACGTTAGCAGCAGGCCACAGGTCAGGAGGTCCAGGTCCTTTTCCAGTGTGATACTGTTTATTCACAGAAAGGAAAACTTTTCTAGATAGCACCGTTTTATACTGCATAATAAAGTGTGTATTTACTGCTTAAATATCAGCTCCTGTTGGTTCAATTGTACCGTGTAAATAGGTTCTTATTATTTAGGCAGGCAATAAATGTTGGCAAAAATATGTCAAAACTCTTGAAAGGTAACAAAGAAATAGCTTTTTTTGTAATTGTAGCCAAATGTTTAAGCAGAGATTGTTTTTTTTTTTAAGCAAAATTTGCTTAAAAAAGCAACAAAATAGTACAATTTCAGATAAGATGTCTCTGGTCTAAGCAAATATCGATCCACAAAGAGCCTAACAAATAGCAAAAGTAAAGCAAAAGTAAGCTACCCCCGCGGTCCCCCAAACAGAAGATATAGTGTTAGGTTCACTGGATTGCTTCCCAAACAGATTAGTGATTAAAAAATTCACAGTCTTTGAAATCTACACAGGCTGCCACAGGAGGCGCCACTAAGTGTAAGTTTCCTCTGGGGAAAAAAACCCAGGACCTTCTGTGTGTAAGGCAGGTGTGATAACGGCTACACAATGGAACTACTGCTGTACGTAGTCAAAGGTTAGCTTAAAGTGCATAATGCTACAGTATACAAAAAAAGAAAACATAAGAAAAAACTTAATCCCATATAGCTGAAAAATTGAAGTATCTTAAATAACTTAAAGATATGAGTAAAACACCGACTAAATCTAAAATTTGGGCTAACGTCGTTTTTTTTTACCTGCGTTTGCTCCAATCTGTCCAAAAGAAGAGATTTGGGCTAACGTCGTTTGCTCCAATCTGTCCAAAAGAAGATGAAAAGAAAATGCTTCATAATTACATTTATTTCCAAGGGTCATAAATTCCCAGCTGTTGGAAACAAGCTGTAATAAGTGACTGTAATATTTACTGAGATAATTAACCTCTCATTCATTAACTTCTGTGTCTGACAATCAGCCTGTGATTACATATAAATGAAGACAAAACCACGAGCTGATTGAAACAGAAGCCGTTCATTTCATTCGGTGGCTTTTTTTAATGTAATTTTCAATCGTTATTTAACACTGCCGTTCACTTACAGAGCGTTGATTCACACCATCATTCAAACAGCGTTTCTTCCACTGCCCTTATTCACTCTTCATTACTTCTGTTTCACAGCTCAAACCGTTCTTCCATCTTCACACACCTTTCTGAACCCAACATGTTCACTTCCTCATCCATTCATCACCACTTCATGCTCTCAGTCATTCATCTCTTCATCAGCTGATTGGCTGCTCCATAACTGAGGGGCCTTTTGTTGTTTTGCTGGCAGCCGATTCCAAACGACATAAGGGTAGAATGAAAAAGACTTTCTAAATATAGACGAGATTCTCTGTGGCTTTAACACACACTCGCCTGAGACCACAGTGATGAACCAGAAGCTCGCAGAAAAAGACTTTAATATCAATGTCCTCGTTTTCTGACAATCACACAAGGGTTTCACTGCTGCTAAGGCATGCTAACAATGGTAATAAAACTCCGATCTGAACGTTCCAAAACACCAGAGTTACTGTAACAAGTTTAAAATAAATGGTCAAAATAAATGAAAGGAATAAAGGGTTGTAGAAAAGTAAAAAGAGGTGAAGCAAACAGTGCAAATAATATAGTGGAAACATCCATGCATTAAGGCTCTCTCTATGTCTGTACGTTTAAAAAATACTATATATATATGAAACATAAGCCTAAAAAATAGCCAAGAAGACAAACGTTTATTTACTAATCAAATTCAGGACAAAATGCATTTCAGTTGAATTAAAAATTGAATTGAAAATTAGAAATGCTGAAATTAGCCTGATGGCTACAAGTTAGATGTAGGTTAATCAAAAGGGAACAAAAAATATAAAAAGGGCAAATGCATGAAATAGCCAAAAAGAGGAAAATTACTTACAAGTAAGGAATCTAATAAATCTAAAAATTTAAAACTTAACAAAATTTCAATCACTTATTAAAGACTCCTAACAGAAAAACCAAATCCCACCCATTCAGGGCCAAACGTTCAAGACAAGACATGAGCTGAAGTTTGGATGTTAAATGTGGTTCTTACCCCAGTGACATCCATGACCTTGATGGCCGCCAACTGCCCAGTCTTAACATGACGACCCTGTGGGGGGAGGAAGAAAAATGAAAGTTTCTCAAACAAAATGAAAATAAAAACGCAGCATTTGTTGAGGTACAGAACATTTTGTCAAACGATGATACCGTCTCAGCACCAAAGCAAACAGTGACCATTAAGAATCCATTCAAATGAAACATTTTACAGCAAGTACTAGAACCAAGTACGTATTAGTACTAATACATTCAGGACTTTTTCGTTAGCTTAACTCCTGGTCAATGGTGAACACAAGAAAGTCAATACAAAAAAACATTGGTTATCATATCTGCAATATCGGCAACAAGAGTCAGATATTTATTAGTTATCAGATTTAAAAAAAAAAACAAAACATTATTGCGCGTCTGTAGTTTGGTAAGATGACATTGAGATGCAGCAGATGAAACAAGTCAAAAGAATCAGGAGAGTGGGCTGCGAGGACATGCCCGTGTGGTTGATGTGCAGCCCAGCATTAGTTCAAAAGGCTAACAGGACACACAAGAACCACCGACGGCTGTTCATTTTCACACGTCTGGACTTTACTGATTAGACGGTCACAGTGGAAACACCACCGCTCTGCAGCAGTGGCACCAACAAACGGACAAACAAACAAATAACTAACCCTGGCTGGAAACAAGAGGGGCAGGAGCGTTCTCCTGGAGGAGCCGTTATAAAGCAGATGGCATTAAGGCTCTGCCTCTAAAGCGCCTCCTCGGGGCCTAAATCAAGGGGACGTTCTGATAATGAGCACTGCAGCTCCAACACAAGCAGGGGGGAAATAAAAACTGGAGCTGTGTTATGGCCGAAAGTTGGAGGTTTCACTGCTGTGCAGTTTGTTTGGAGGGTGTTGTTCAATAATGCAGAAACCGTCTCTCTGTTCACTACTTCCTCTACTGTTTTAATGCACTTTTTAAAACTTTGGTTATAAACCATTAGCTTTTTTTGGTTTTGGTTGATTACCAGAGAGACCATTAGCGCCCCCTTCAGTCAGACGTATGCAGCCTTAGAAGTGTAATACATTTTCGAATAGGGTTGACCAACAGTTGCGCAAATTCAAGGGTATTTAAGAACTTGGAATACCTCTATAAAAATTATAACAGATCTGATAAATGAGGAACTAATTAAGTAACGATACTGCCACATACTGCAGTACACAAGCTGTTTCACTATGTAGTAATCGTTACAGTAATATCTGATCACAGAATTGTCATTTTTGATATTAACCCTCAATTTCTGTCAAAGAAGATAGTACGACTCTGTTCCTCTGGACTTGATGACGATTTGTAACTGGAATAGAGTTAGACCTTTCAATTGTCCACTCTGTCAGGATCCAGCACAATGCCAAACAAGCAGCTCTGAATTGTGAAGAACTGTGTCCTGACAGAACAAGGGCTGGAAAGTTTGAAGAGGGATTTCTCATTAGGATCAGTCTGGCCCCAATTTCATCCAGTACAAGGAGCGGCTTTGTTGGAGTCCAACAATGGGATTACAGCCACTTATAAACCACACATTCTGACACACACATGTACACACACACACATATACAGTCAGATGTCCCAGTTTTTTCCCATAGCTGACACAGAAAGACAGTTGAATCCTTCCATACACCCACATCTGCACAGAGACGTACGAGGCGGGAACAGAGGGAAGAGTGACTTCAAGAGAGAAGCACAGAATGAGTTAAGCGTGCGTCATTAGAGCCGCAGAATGATTCATTACTTTGAGCCACTTTGTGACCTCCGTGTTATGAATGAGAACACGCGAGAGGAGCAGGAGCAGCAGCACTGGCCATTCATCTTCCTTCCTCTCCGTTCTTTGTACTCACCACGTCTCACCAACCTCAATGGACTCCTCATTGTTTAGTATAGTTTTTGTTTTTAAATATTGTATTTATTTTCTTTAAGACCATTTTATCATTTTGTCTCACCCATGTTTAGAAAAAAACTAAAAACTGGCTTTTTTTTTTTTTGAAATTAATTCCAACTGCGATATTAGGGGAGTTGTATATAATATTGTATTTGTTTTCTTTAAGATCATTTTATAATTTTGTCTCACCCAAAAACTAAAAACTGGCTTTTCTAAGAAATTCATTCCAACTGCGTTATTAGGGGAAACAAAAAATAAAAAGTCTAATTTAGAGAGAGAATTTACCTGAGCCAACACCCATCTGGCCAGCTTTGGTGCAAAGGTATTTATGTGTGGCATCAAAACAGAACCAGGGCTAAAATACTGTACTGGTGCTCTTTTTGCTCATTTGTTAATTAATTAAAACGATTTGAAACTGATTTACCAATTTCACTGATTGAAAAAGTCAGTGCATGTTCATCTCAGCTTAGATTTCAAACAACCTCAATAACTTGTTAGTAAGTTACTAATTTAGAGAGAGAATTTACCTGAGCCAACACCCATCTGGCCAGCTTTGGTGCAAAGGTATTTATGTGTGGCTTCAAAACACAACCTCAATAACTTGTTAGTAAGTTATTAAGTAAAAGTAAGCTGATGATTAACATGTACACAGATATATATAATTTTAATTAAATGTTAACACAGAGTTTACAGAATTGTAGTTAAAATACAAAAAAAAATCAAGTCATCGACAAAGAGAAAGCTAAACGTTCACTAACAATCTGCTCTTAGATAGCTAAACCTTGCTAATAACTATTAGATATCTGCTCTTAGCTAAACCTTGCTAATAACTATTAGATTACAGGATGCTAGCTGTGCAGTAAAAAGAAAGAGTTGTGTTTGTGTGACTCATAGATATGGTTTACAAAATGCTGCTAGAAGAAAGACATGTATTAGCAACAATTCATTGAGCTTTAACAGGAAGTTTATGTTTACTTATGTAAAGCTAATAAAAAAATGTAGCCTTATCTTGTTCTATGTGACACTAACCATCTAAATCTTGTGATTGTAAGATTGTTGTAGAACCCTAAAATACTCAACATTTATTTGACCTAGCTTATCTAGATACCTAGTTTCTTTTGTTGGGATAAACTAAGCTCCATTAAAAAAAAATGAAAACAGCATATTGGACTAAAAATGTTAGCTTTAGCAAAAGAAAAGCTTCGTGCTATAAACTAGGCGAACAGATATCATTCCTTTGTTAGCGATGCCTGAATCACTGTATTCAGCATCACTGAGCCTCACGACCTCGTTCAGCTTCTCTCTCTCTCTCTCTCTCTCTCTCTTACTCATTTGTGCGATGTTTTGCCTGATTTGACTCTCTGACCTAAATCCTCAGCTCCTCACATGTTCCCTCTGGCTCTCTCTCACTATCTAACCCTCTTAACTTCTCACATTCCCCTCGTTAAGCCTTTCCATTATTTGCTTCTTCTCCTCCTTCTACACGTCTGGCCTATAGTTCTCTGCCGATTCCTTGTCTCCTCCAGTCTCCATCTCCCCTCGTCGTCTAACGCCTCACAGCTCAGACCAGTGGCCTGTGAAAAGTGGGTCCCATCCAACATGAATAGGGCTGAGCTGAACAAGGTAAGTGGCTGAAATACAACGTTCAGCTGCGGGTCTGACAACCAGGTATGGCACAAAGCACTGTTTTCTTGCCGCCTTCTCTACATCTTCTACAAACCCTCAATGTCACCGACATGAGTGAAGAAAACAGACATACACACTGTGGAATCCTCCTGTCTGACTGTGTTGTACATGTAGCAATAGCTAAGATCATCACAGCAACACTAGCAGAGGTTTGTTGAAATTCTAAAAACTATGTGTGGAGGTTATACTGACGATTGATCTCTTTTTACCCAACAGTAAAAAGTCTGTTGCTGTGTTTTGGTTTTGCTGCTAGCAAGAAAACGTGATACTACAGTACAGGAAAAGCAGGATATCCTTGCTTTAGGTAAAGTACAGGGGGTCCTCACTTTACGGCATCCTCAACACACAGCGTTTTGTTAACGTTGCCTCACCCCTACATACAAGACGGCTCTGTTTACATTCACCAGTGGCACGTCATGTTTTTTTGCTCATAAGCATGGTTTGTCAAACCAAACTGTAGAGGACAACGTAGGATTCATTGAAAAGCAAAAGTTTCCTGACCAACAGGTTCTGATTTCCTACATATTTTGCGATATGTAATATGCAATTGTAAGCAAATTCTGACTTACAGCGAACATTCAAATTATGTCACCGCTTCGAACTGAACCCTGACGTATGTTGAGGACCGCCTGTATAAGGGGGTGAAGGAATAAATGAAGGTTAATTTAGCAAGCAAGAGAAACACTCAAAAGTCCTTCGTAAACAAGTCAGCTCTAAAGGAAAATTATTTTCAGCGAATAAGAAGAGCCGTCTCCCAGAGAGCAAGAGCTGAATCATCAGCGGCTTCTGCTGCGCTTAACTGAATCCTGTATCACAAATACAGTGATTTCTTATGTGGTGGATGTTCTGATACGTCAAACTCTACACAAGCTGGTACTGTATAACTGGACCTAAAAGCCAATGTATGTTAGTGAGCTACTCAGACACACAAAATACTGTTTCATATCATAGATTTTCCTGCACCACTCAACCAAATCTTTGTGAAGCATCGCGTACACCTGTCAAAAGTGCAAGACGACTGAAAATGCTCCCCCGCCAGGTGCGTATGTTTGATACCAGACCAAGTCGAATACTTTTGCTTCGCTTCAGTGGAGCCTGTGATAAAGTGTGATGGTGACAGTGGACTCATGTCAAACTGATCTCCAATCAGCCTCCAGACAGACAGACATGACTGTAGCTGCAGGTCAGTGTTTGTTTTACTGTTGTACAGAACATCAGATGTCAACATTAACTGATGTTGGTTTTTCTCTGAATGTATGGTCTGACTTTTGGAGGAAAGAAGATTTTTTCATACAAAGCATGTAACGTCTGCTGAAGCCTTTTTGTTTGTTATGAGAGTGACATCATCTGAATCCAAATGACCCTGTCAATCATTCTGTCTGCAACCACAGGTTTGATTATATAATGATCTCCTTTTCACTTGTCCTTTCATCTGCACGATGACACCGATGTCAGAATGA